TAACCTGAAGATCCCCCAACATGATCATTAGAAGAATTAGCATTCACAAACATAACAGACACCCCCTGAACCAAAGAATTCATTACTGCTTCAATACTCTTCTCTACACCGATTAATTGAGCTCGAAATTCCTTAAGAGTAATGGGTGACTCTTTGGCAAAAATAACAATTCTAATTGTATCATAATCAGAAGGTAGAACTGTGTGTGCAGCAATAATAAGATCATTATTTGACACTTTCTCTCCAGTAGCCTGTAATTGATCTTTTAGTGCTTTCAACCTTAGCAGATACTTATCAATAATATCCCCCCCTCATTTTTTTTGCATAGCATGTAGTTCAGCTCTTAGATGATTGACACTAGCTTTAGAAATAGACATATATCGATCATGTAAGGTAATCTAGGCCTCATGAGACGTCTTACAGCCAACCACATGCTCAATTGCATCATCACTAAGGGTAACAATCAACAAGCTTAACAATGCCATATCCATCTTCACCCAGTTCTTATACGTAGCATTAACCTCAGTAGTAACTCCTAATTCAGGGGTGAGAACAAACTTGGGAGGACATACAGAATCACTCGTGAAATGATCAAGATGATCATATCCACGCAAAACATAGCTAAACTAAAAACTCCATTTAAGAAAATTATCATCATTCAGTTTCATCGTAAGCATACCCAGCAAACCTTCAATTTTCACTTAATTAACCATGATTGGAATAACAAATTCACTGTAATATCAATAAATGTAACAAACATAAAAAAACAATGGACGAACCCAGAAAAACCCAGGTGAAACTTGAGTCGGTGGAAAGAACACAGATGAAAAATTTACAAAATTAACTTCAAACACAGAATCAAGAGCAACCAATCACTATACAATTTCAAGAATCACAAACAAACTTCATCACTCGACATCTGCCTTCAATCAATTCACTTAACGCAAGAAAACCCAAAATTCACACAAATTGGCATCGGCCTTTCATGAATGCAGCATATAAATCGTCAATTCAACAGAAACTATGGCAAATTGGCATTGGCCTTTCATGAACGCAGCATATAAATCGTCAATTCAATAGAAACTATGGCATCGGCCTTCAATTATACAAAGGTTCGGAAAAAAAATTCCAGATCTAAGCAAAATTCTTAAGAATTTGTGAAAGCCACAGAAACAATATCACCTTATCACCAATCGAAGCAGTGAAACCTATAAACCAGACCCATTGTGCAAGCAAGACTGGCTCTCGATACCATCTTAACTGCAAGGAAGAACTTCATAGAAATTAAGAAATATGCAGATTAAGAAAGCTTAAAGAAGAAGAAAACCAAAGAATTTCTCAATATATTTTTGTAACTGTTTTTGTTATACACCGACTTAACCAAAATACAAGAGGAAATGAACTATTTATACTACTCTATATGTGCACATGTACAATGATGACCTAGCATATTATTTACTTATCCAATAAAGAGGATAGAGAAGAGTGAGGACTTAATGGAGGCGAAGAGGTCAGTTAGGTGCTCAAAGACGGCTAGCTAGTAGATGAGCTTGTGGATGTATGGGACGTCGATCGGGAGAGCTAAGCGAATTCGGTAGAAAAGTGAGTGGCCCATTGGGGTCGAGCATTAGGGTACGTCGTTAAAGGCCTTTGGGGCTGAGGTGGGTGGCGGCGGTGCGGTGGCGACCATATTTGTGGTTGGGGTTTGGGTATTTGCTTGTTTTGCAACTGAGAAAAGTTGGCTACATTTTTCCAGGAAATGCGTGGGAAAATGGTACTGGTGTGTGAGTAGTGAGGACTAAGGTGGGGAGTGGGAGCGGTTTTATAATTGAGCTGGCGATCAGGTTTCAATCCTAATCATTTGTAAAAGAGAAAGCTTAGACGGTCTTCAATTTTTAAGTTAAAATGTAAAAATTTTAACTTAGAAATAGTTTTTTTTGTTACAAACCTTCTAGCTAAACTTTTAGTCTGAAATTATTAAAGAATGCATTTAGGATAATTTTTTTCTTGAAGTAACTTTAAAAAAATAAAAAAATAACGTAGACTATCATAATTTAATTTTATGAATATTTTAATCTAAAAATTTAAATTCTTATCAATATTGAAAAATCATAAAACCGACACCATAAAAATTGTGAAATACTATGAAAGAATATGAAACATATGAAATAATTTTTTAATTAGCCACTGGATTTAAATTTGTACCATAAGATCCTGTTTTTACCATTGAATATGGTCATATTAGATCTTAGTCGTTAGGTTCAATGAATTTATAAATATAAATCTAAAAAAAATAGACATATATGGTGGCTGTGTCACTAACTCAGGGAGAATTCAGGCCTAAATTTGCCCTCAAAATGAACTTTGGAGTCAAACCTATATTTGGCCTAAGACTTAGAATAAGTTAGGGTAGATTTAGAATCTAAAATTCGAGTTTTACGAGTTAGAGTAAGTCTAAAAAGACTATTAAAATAGGACTCTTCAGATGCTTTTGTCAACATATTTTTTTTCCCAATATTCAAGTTCCAGCTTACCATACTAAAGTCTCATTAACATTTATCTTCTCTTAGATATTTGGATAGGATACGAAAAGCTTCTGTCAATTTCGGTGAAAGTTGTCAAAAGCAAAAATCAATTTTGTTTGGATGATTGCAATGATTGGATAGGATACGAAAAGTTAGGGGCAATTTTGTAAATGGATGATTAAAGGAAAAAATAGGAAATCTCCGCGCAAGTTCCCAATTGTAAACATTTGAATAAAAAAAGTAGAAAATTTGAAAAAATAATGAAAATGTATTCGCTGGTGGAAGTTCGTTTATTTTTGAAAGCTCTTTGGTATATAACTATTAAGGAGTTTGTAGCTTAATTAACTACAAGTTAGTGGCGGAAATTTTTTTCTTTGAGTGGTGAATGACATTGTTTCCTTATGCTCGTTGGTAGATTGAGAGCTATGACTTTCTTGGACTTAGTGTTTGTTGAAAACTTTCGTTTAGGGATGAGTTCAGTTCACATTGGTTTGATTTTTGTCGAAAACGAAAAACCGAACCAAAATTATTGTGAGGTTCGTTTTGATTCGGATTTTCTTCCGATTTTTTCGGTTCGGTTTGCATTCAGTTCGGCTCGGTTTAAGGTTTAGGCAATGATGAACGGAGCATGATCTCAACATCTCATCATTAGCTAGACCAAATGTGGTTGCTGCAGATGAAGCATATATCTCTCAGCCGGAGAACAATGACGATAATTTCATGGGCATATTACTCGTTTGTGATCTTATCATTAGCTAGTCCAAACATACTTCGAACATGGGATGGCATATATTTCTTTCTTTCTTTTGGTTCCTCGAGATAGCGGCGAGACTTGTGGTTGTAATCTACTGATTGATAATTCATGGTGATATACATTTTCTCTAAGTTGTCCACAATTAATCATTTTGGTTATTTTGTGAAAACTTATGTTAAATAAAGATAAAATGATTGATGGTGAATAAAATTCAGAGACTACTCTTATCGATTTCAAATCTCAAGCACAAAAATGAGAAATTATGTCAATATTAAAAACCATTTTAGTTAAAAAGCGATAATTTAATAATTCATAGCAAATGGCCTTTTACCACAATGGTGGAAAGGTGTTGAGCTGTTCCATGACAGTGCGGGTTTGAATCTCGTTAATCATAGTTCAAAACATATCCTTTTTCCACGTTGGTTTTTAATTTTTTTAATCTTCGATTTTGGTTCCGTGTTCAATTTGATTTTTTTCGGGGTGGCCCCTGTCGAACCCACCTCTACTTTCCTCCTTGCTAAGTTCTGTTTCAACTCTTTTGTTTTACTAGTATCACTTGTATGAAATATAGATATTTGTACGACTACGACTAACCAAGAAAATAAACCAAAATACATTTAGGATGATCCATAGGGCCAAATTGTATGATAATTTAACGGAAAAAAGTACGTTTGGATTAAATTTGCTAAAAAACTACACCATAAAGATTTAAATTCTAATTTTTTTTTCTTTTTACCGTAAAGTTATCTTCCAATTACCTTATCACCATTTATTCGATGAAGGCAAAACTTTTATTGTTATAAAGGATTGTGAAAGAATACGAAATAATTATAATAAGAGTAAATTATAGTGATAGTCTCTTAACTTTAACTCAATTGGAGCAATGATCCCTCAACTAAAAATTCATTACCATTGATCCCTCAACTCATCAAAACGTGCAGCTATAGTCCCTAAACTAAAAATTCATTACCATTGGTCCCTCAACTTTAATCCAACTGGAGAAATTGTCACTCAACTTTAACCCAATTGTAGCAATGGTCCTTCCAACATAACTCATTTTGACAAAATTCTGACGAAATTGACGAAAATAACCATAGCTACACGTTTTGATGAGTTGAGGGACTCCAATTGTAGCAATGATACTTCCAACATAACTTATTTTGACAAAATTCTGACGAAGTTGACAAAAAGAGTCATAGCTACGTATTTTGATGAGTTAAGGAACCAATGGTAATGAATTTTTAGTTGAGGGACCATTGCTCTAATTTGATTAAAGTTGAAGAATCATTGCTATAATTTCCTCTTATAATAATTTACAAGTGATAAAATTTCAAACTCGAAATGAATAGATGAAAACTCAAAACCCTCTTCAATAATATAAAATGAGAAAGAAACTTCACTACTAGTTGGAGCAGTAATTTATGCAATGTAAGCATTTTTTTGGTCCCAAATTTATGGGAAACAATTTCTAATTATTCCCCAATTGATTAAAACCCTACAATTCCTAAAATTAAAAAATTATACGAGTGGGAAGCCATACTCTCACTCACGCCCCTTCCCAGCCACCTCTGCTCGAACCGGTGGCGCACTCGCCCTTCCAATCTCCGACCGAAAAATTTCCAAATTTCCCTCCCACATTTACCGGAATCACAGTCCCACTCCCGGACTCTCAGTCTGATGCAAAGCTCGGCAGCTTGGCCAGGTAGGGCAGCAGCAGAAGCATGACCGATAAGCCACCAGAAGCACCATCTCCGTCACCTCCGCCGTTGAGGCAACTCTCTCCCCAAGACTGGGAGTCGTTAATCGACGACTTCCAGCACGGCGGCGCACGCCAGGACAGATGGACCTCCGCTCAGCCGATACTCCTCTCCCTCCTCGACCAAGCCCTCTCCTCCATCGCCAAGCGCGACTTCCCCCTTAAGCTCCACGTCATCACCTTCCTCGAGGAGTTCTCCGACCCGCTATTCTCCACTGCCATCGCTAACGACGCCGTTTCCGGACGCAAAGTTCTCAACCGCCTCATCGAAACCCTACGCGCCCTGATCCAGACACCGCCCGATGGGGTCCACATCACGTTCGCTCTCAAGGAGCAGATGATGCTTTCCGTCACCTCAGTCGTTGTCTCTCTCGACGACGACGTCGTTTCGATCTCCACCGTCGAATCGCTGGTGGAGCTGCTGTTAACGGTGATCAACCGTCCCAATCATGGCGTCGACCGTCAGGCGCGTGCCCTGGCGTGCGAGTGCCTGCGCGAGATGGAGAAAGCTCGGCCCTCCTTGCTTTCTGAAATCGGCGGACATCTCTGGAGCTTGTGCCAGAACGAGAGGACTCACGCCGCTCAGAGCTACATTCTGTTGTTCACCACCGTCGTTCACAACATCGTCGTCGAAAATCTCAGCGTTTCGATTCTCAATACGACGGCACCTTTGGTGCCGTTCAGTTCGCCGCAGAACGGGTCAGGTAAGGAGGGTTCGGGTGGGTTGAATTACAAGGAGCTGAGGAGGGCAATGGCTTTTCTGCTAGAGTGGCCGCAAGTGTTGACGCCGTGTGCGATGGTTGAGTTCTTGGCTCTGGTAATGCCAATGGCGGCGGCATTGGAGCTCCAAGCTTCGATGCTCAAGGTCCAATTTTTTGGGATGGTTTATTCGTCTGATCCTATGCTCTGCCATGTTGTTTTGACCATGTTTCCTAGGTTCTGGGACGCGTTTGATGGGCAGGAAGGTGACATTGCATGGAGGCTTGTGCTGCTATCCAAAGAATCGCAGCACCACTTGGTTTTTCGATTGCTGGCGGTGCATTGGTTGCTTGGTTTTGGTCAGTTAGTATTGAGAAGGGAAGTAAAGAAAGTGAAGACCATTGTTGATATGGGTTCGAGATTCTATCCGAGTGTGTTCGATCCCCTTGCTTTGAAAGCCTTGAAGCTTGACCTTCTTGCCTTTTGCTCTGTTTGTGTTGATATCTTGAAACCAGAGAAGAGTGTTTCGGGCGAGGATGGTGAGGTGAATGATAAGTTGGTGGTGAAGTTGTTTGAAGATGGACTTGTTTGTGTATCAGCATTCAAATGGTTGCCTCCGGGAAGTACTGAAACCTCGGTGGCATTTCGAACTTTGCACAGGTTCTTGATTGGAGCTTCGTCTCATTCAGACAATGATCCTTCCACCACTAGAAGTCTCATGGACTCCACCATTTTCAGGAATATACAGGTAGTTTTCTCTCTTCCTCAGTCTCCATCTATGTGTCCTACTACAGTTATAAGCATTGGATATGAAATTTTCTGTTTATGGTTGAGGATATTTTAGGTTTGGACAACGATTAGTCCTCCCCTTAGCTTTGAGTTTGAATTGAATTATCAGAATTTTAGAAGGATAATTTTGCGCTGTTTTACTCGGATTACGGATTAGCTGATGTGTTTGGATTCGTCTCAGTTCTTGTTGAACATATATTATTTGTAAGGAATACTACAAGAACCAAATAATTGTTATCTGCTGATATGATAGTGTATGCATTGATGTAATAGTTATATCTAGCAACTAATAAGAAATTTTGAGGTCATCTACCTCAATAGTTGGTGTCTAAAATTTGGGCAAACTGTTGATGCTTCTAAAACTAATAGTATTTATGTCTAATATATTGACATTAGTAGTGACATTGTTTCTCCTAAAAATAATGGTTTTTCATAGATTTAGCGTGATGGACTTTTTGTATGGTCTTTTTCCCTTTTAAAGTATGAAGGATGATGTTCATGTAATTGAGTTTTTCTTTTTTCTCTAAATCCAATATCTCCTTGGAAGTGTTCGCTATGCTTGATGTTAAATAAAAAGTAGCTGTAAGCTTTCTCTTAACTATAGCTTGTGGCTTGTTAAGTGGTTGCATGATGTGGAATGCATGTCTTGGTCGCAATTAGATGTTAGAATGCTATGAAGTGATCGGTAAAGATCAATAGACATACATTTAATGTAACAGTAATGTGCCAGAGAAAAAGGTAAATCATTACTATTAGTGTCCGTTTGGCACCAGCAAGGATATTAAAGTCGCTTAATTTCCCAAGAATCTGATCACGAGCATTTGTTAAGCTTTTTATGGTCAAGGAAAAATTATTTGTGTAAGATGATTTTGATTGTTTTCTTGTTTGGTACTATTACTTTTTAATCTTAATTATGCAATTGCATCACTGGTCTTTAGTTCAGAGGGAAGTGGGAAGGCGTTTTCATCCTTGTGTCTGTGCCATTTTTAATGTCTTTAAATTTCTATGTCCAGGGGATGCTGGTGGACCTGATGTTGGAGTGTCGGAGATTGGTTCCTGTGGTAGTTGTTTTGACTGATCGCTTGTTGGGTTGTCAAAAGCACCGTTGGTTGGGAGAGCGCCTGCTTCAGGCATTTGATGAGCATTTGCTTCCAAAAGTGAAATTGGATTACAGTTTGGTTTCTTTTTTTCCAATATTTGATAGAATTGCTGAAAGTGATACAATTCCTCCTCGTGGATTGCTAGAGCTTCTCACCAAGTTCATGGCCTTCCTTGTTGGTAAACATGGCCCATATACAGGACTAAGATCATGGTCTCAGGGAAGCAGAGTTCTTGGCATCTGTCGAACCTTGTTGATGCATCACAAGAGCTCTCGATTGTTCCTTAGAATGTCTCGCCTTTTGGCATTTACTTGCCTTTACTTTCCTGATTTGGAGGTTCGTGACAATGCAAGGTATGATTAATAAACCTTCTTTTTCTCTTCTTGACTTTTTCCTTGAGAATCGTACCCTTTCTTTTGTTATGGGAACTATATACAATTTAGTAAGCTTGGCAATAGCCACGATTAGCTGATGACATGTTGGTTCGTTATGGTCTTTCTGCAGGATCTACCTTCGGCTTCTTATCTGCGTGCCGGGAAAGAAGATCAGGGACCTGCTGAATCTTGGGGAGCAACTCAGTATTTCACCATCTTCACATGCCAATTTCAATGTCCAAACTCCTCGCTTTTCTCATAGTCTCAAGAAGTCGAAGACCGTCTCCTCGTATGTCCACCTTGAGCGCGTAATCCCCCTACTAGTCAAACAGTCTTGGTCCTTGTCTTTATCATCTTTGGGTATTGGAAGTAGTGATCCTGGTTACTTAGGAGGCGTCAGGGACATTGAACCCATAGTAGAGGATAGTGATATTGATGACAGTAGTGATGTCCAGATTGCACCAGAAGCTCAAGCAATTGATGACAATGGTAATGTCCAAATTATCCCTGAAGATCGAAGAATTGATCGACCACCGGAGCCATTGCGTGTGACGGATTCAAAGATTTCGGAGATGTTAAGAATACTGAGGACGCATTTCTCATGCATTCCTGACTTCAGACATATGCCAGGAATTAAGGTTAGACTATCATGTAGTTTGAGGTTTGAATCTGAGCCTTTCAATCGAATATGGGGAGTTGATTGCCATGCTGGTGGTTCGAATGAATTAGATGCCCTTCCCGCTATATATGCAACAGTGCTAAAATTTTCATCCTCTGCAGCATACGGGTCCATTCCATCATATCATATACCTTTTCTTCTAGGTGAGCCTCCCAGAAAAACTAATGTACCTGATCAGACAGTCTCATTAGCTATTGTTCCTGTAGAAAATGCTTGTGGAGAAGATGAACGTTATAGAGCTCATGTAACGATTGAATTGGAACCACGGGAACCCACGCCTGGTCTAATTGATGTTTCAATTGAAACAAGTGCTGAAAATGGTCAGATAATCAGGGGACAGCTTCACACAATCACTGTTGGCATAGAGGATATGTTTCTCAAGGCTATTGTACCATCTGACATCCAGAATGATTCCATACCTGGTTATTACTTAGATTTGTTCAGTGCTCTTTGGGAGGCATGTGGCACTTCAAACACTGCACGGGAGACATTTCAGTTGAAAGGAGGCAAAGGGGTCACTGCTATCAGTGGTACTCGGTCGGTCAAGCTACTTGAAGTCCCTGCATCATCCTTGATTCAAGCTACTGAGCGCTATTTGGCACCCTTCGTTGTAAGTGTGATTGGTGAACCACTTGTTACTACTGTAAAGGAAGGAGGAATCATTAGGGATGTAATCTGGAAGGATGTGGCCTCAGATTCGTCCCTTGATATTACTAGCTCCGAGACCAATTTTCATAGAGGCCCACTTCATCTTACATACGGTGATGATGCAGAGGAAAGGGACAGTCCTGTCAATACCCGCAAAACAAACATGGGTAGCTTTCTTATTTTGATATTTCTTCCACCAAGGTATCATCTTCTCTTCCAAATGGAAGTATCTGATGTTTCAACGTTAGTACGAATTCGAACTGATCACTGGCCGTGCTTAGCGTATACTGATGATTATTTGGAAGCATTATTTTTGGCATAGGAATTCGTTTATTTCTACCGTGCAAGTACGAAACATGAGGATTCTCATCGGTGTGGCTCTAAGGTCATTGGCATTTTGTTCTATATCTTCTCTCCATATTTATCCGTACAGAGAAGGGTAAATTTTTTGCACCCAGAATAAACTCTGCTGTAAATTCATCTCGAGTTATTTTACCTTGTATTCTTTTGTTGTGTTGAGAATTTAGATGTGCAATTTTGGGGCGTTTTTCGTTGTGTAGGTAGGATTTTGTAACCAAAAGGTTGAAGTAATTTGTAAGCTGATTCTTTCATTGCAATCAATAGAAATCTTGTTGGCATATCTACTAGTAAATACCTTGTGAATTTCAAATTTGAGCAAAACAGTACTTTGCTCATTCATGCGAGAGAAACTTATATATGCGCGAGTTTCTCTTGCCTGAATGATCAGTCTCACGTGATGAATCATCTCGTGAGGAGGGAACCCCCGTAACTTGAGAATTCTTGTCCATTGAGGCAATAGGAGCGTCCGCGTATACTTTTGCACATCGAGAGCCTTTTGTAGAAAAATGAAATAAGTCATAAAAAAATAATGACCTAAAACTATTTGAGTGCATTCAAATAATTTGGTGAACTGCAATCTACAGAAAAGTTAGTTCGTTCCTCACCTACACCTAACCACAACATCCAAAGATTACACGAGATTTTAACCAAGAAAACAAGAAAATTGTTACATGAGATCCTGAAGTCCTCTTTGACCCCATAAGCCCCTTCTGCTTATGCCCACATATGTTACAAAAGCCAACCTCACCAAATTTCCTGGCAGGTTAGCTCACATAATGCCCTGTTTTGCGGCGGTGTACGGCTATAATCTGATACAAACCTGAAGAAGAGGCCACATCCCTCAACCTTGCACTGGTATGGCCGCTCTCCGGTGTGCACACGTAATGTGCTCAGTGCGGGCCCATGCCCACTTGAACGACATGGAGCAGCCTTTCCACGGGCACTTGAGGGGCCTATCATCGTCATGCACACGGCTGTGACTCACTGCGTACTTGTGAGAACTGAACCTCTTGCCACACCCTTCATGGGGGCAGCGGTTACGCTTGTGCAACATTAGCTCCGCCTTTGTTGCAAACCTCATCCGGCAGCTTTCTATGTCGCACCTGTGAGACTTCCTTGCGTGTTCCTTCTTAGGAGGAACAGGAACATCTGAAGGTTTCTTCACCTTCTTTGTCACCGGTTTCTCCTCCACCTCTTCTTGGATTTTGTCCATCCCACTTGTACTCAGTTGCATCTTTCCCAGCCCTTGGTCTCAACCCCTCACACGGCCCTCTAATAAATCCATTGAATTCGAGGTTATCATCTATTATTTGCTCCAGTTCTCTCTTTCTTTTTCTTCCCATTTCAGGACTTGGTGCAACCAGCATTTGAGGACCCGATGTTTTCCATTTCTTTATCATGTAGAGATAAGCAAACCTTACCACCATTGCGTAAGTCTGGAGCAGCACGAGGCTTTCTTTTAGCTCTAGAATATGTTTGGATTGAAGGAGATGGTTGACATTTTGAAGTATCTCGACTAGGAATGAGTTCCTCACTACCATTTGTAGTACGATTTTTCCACCCTTCATCCAAGGCCATAGAACCACTGATGTTTATTGTTTCATAGGTCACTCTGGGAACCTCAAATTCTTCAACCAAGCGAGGTGTGGCCTGCATTTCTGTTTCTATGATGAGACTAAGTATGGGTGCCTCTATAGCTTCATTTGTAGTCTGGACTTCTTGCTGCATTACAGTGTCTGAAGTCGCACCATCATCTGTGCCTTCCATAGAAGAGCCTCCCCTTGGCACTTCAGAAGATTCTTCCACTGAGATACAAGGTTGAATTATTTCCATTTGTGTCACTGAAGTCAAGACATGTTCTCCCCCACTCCTATCTGCAGTTAGAAATTCTTCACTGCGAGAAATTGTACCAGGGCAAAAATCTGCTGCAGCACAGAGCTCTCTTGGAGCTCCAGAAGTTCCTTCCACCGAAGCAAGAGAGGGCTCAATTAGTTGTCTTCGAGGACTTAAACTGGGTTCCTCATTTTCTCCTTTCGCAGTCTTAATTTCTTCTGCCAGTTCGAATACTAAAGATACATCATCATTTGAGTCTTCAGCATTATGGGAACTACATGGAACTGGCGCCTTGTCTTTACTTCTGTTGGTAGTTTCGATTTCTTGCTGCACTTCATCATCCGAAGTCATGGAATCACAAACTTCATTGCTTATGCAAGATTTCTCCAGGACTGTATTCACCATCTGTGGCTCAGAACTTGTAACAAATGAGTTGGCAGCACATAAGTTTGTTGTCTCAGCAAGAACAGATACGCCAGCCATAACTTGGGACTGCCCTTCCGATACTTGATTACAAAATTCACTGGTATTGTTGATTTTTTCCATTTGCTGCTCCTCTATTTGCATTGGAACCGTTTCATCAGCTGCAATGACAGGTGGAGTAGCAGACTTTCCTTGACTGGCTTCTTCAAGTATCCTTATCTCATCTTGCACATCAGAAATATTCCTTGATGCAAACTTACAACCTTCACCGTTCATGTTTCTTTCTTCAAAACTGTGATTATCAACCTGTGCCTCAACACTACCAGCTATTAACGTAGCAGTGGTAAGTGTATCTACAACTTGTGAAGGAGTAGAGTACAAACTGATATCCCTGGTTGCTTCAGACATCTGGACAACAGGATACATTTCAGACATTCCGCTTGACGCAGAGGAATCAAATCTTGCACAACTGCTCGTGGAATTCCCATTGTTGCAAATGTTGCTTTCTGATGCCATTCTACTATCTTTACCACCAACACCTGTAGCAGGGTGCCCACAGACCCTACCCACTCCTGTAGAACTCCCTGCTTTAAGCTTCAACTTCCTTCTTGAATATTGAATTATTTTTTCTTCCCTCTTAAAAGAGGTCCCATCTGACCTTCCACACACCACTTCATCCTTTTCCTCAATGTTCTCACATGGTTTATAATCCACTGGATGATTAAGCTTTTTAGAGCGAGATCTTCTTGATTGCCATTTGACGGCCAGAAAATCTGAGCTGGGACTTTGTTTGGAGAACAAACCACCCAATGTCAATGCATGCTGGACTTGCTTCAAGGACGAATTCTTTCTGACCTTGACACAGTAGTGTAGGTTGATACCCAACTTTGAGGTCCAGTCTTCTCCACATTCATCACGTTCATCATCAACAGCAAGCTCTATCAAATTCAGATCTTTCTGTGATGCATTATCCAATGAAACCTCATTATAATTGAAAGAGCAACCAATCTCCTCTGCAATTGCTGCAGCCGGGGCCTTTATTTTCTGATAGTCTGCAGAAATTCAAATAGTAAAGCATCAACTAACAAGAAGTAAAAACAACTTTGCAAATTAAGAGAGTATCAAATACTATTCTTCTAACGAATCTTACCAGAATGGCAAATTACAAGCATGTTCGCTCCACCTTTGCACTGCAACAGGTCCACAATTTCCACAGCGTGCTCAAGGCAGAAACTCCTTGGTCTCAGAAACTTATTAACAGTATTCCAACCCTTTTTTATATTGTCTGCGGAAGGAATTAGGGGATCTTTCGCAGGTGGCAAAAAGTTGGGAACAGAAACGAGGTCCTCTTCTGCAGAACAAAGAAAATAATAGATTTGAAAATTTGCTTTCATGAAAAACACCTGGAAACAATGTATAACTCCCCAGTTCCTACTACTACTCCAGAATTGAAAAACTTTAGAACATTAAGAAGCTATGAACCCCATTTACATGATACTATACAATAAAGAGAACGACTGATAAAGTTGACAATTAGCTGATTCAAGGTCCAAAATCAGAAACAGAAGCAGCAGGCCGTAAACATTGTGCACAGGAAGATCCCACAAATTAATCACAGAAGCTTCACAACTGGAAGTGTGAAGACTTTGAGGCAGTTCTTAGTACCCCAATGTCAAAACCTATACAGCTGACGGACAGAACATCACTAGACTCCCAAAAGACCTGAACACCATTATATAGGCAAATAGCTATTTTTGAGGGCTCCGATACTTTAAACTGTTAAGCTATATCCACCTTGAATTTTCTTTTCTCTCAATCACTAAAACTAAAACTAGGAAGTTAATTGTGAAAACCAAACACATGAGCAATGAAAATATGTAGATTGAAATTCCTATACCTGTAACAAATCCCATGACAGATGCATGACAGTCTGGAAACAAATGAGAATTTTCAAGTCCTGAAATGCCAGGGGAACCTTGAGCAGTAAAATTCTCAGTTTGCAGTTTCATTGATGCTTTCTCGGATGGTTGCACGACAGACATAAATGGAAACCCAAGTATACCACAAGCCACGCATGCCAATGTGCCTGAGTCGACTTGAAAGTCCCGTGATAAATCATCACTTCCCAAATACAAATCATTCATATTTTCCATATACAAACTCATCTCGTCAATCAGCACTTTCTGATCATTATCGTAATTTCCACACTGAATATGGGTAGCATCTTCCTTTGGATTCATATCAACAGCAGCACCACCACCGGGTGTTACGGAATCTTTACTTGTATATGGAAGTAAATCATGGTTCCATAATACTGCGTGGTAACTTGATTCTTTTCCAAGAAGGACAGACAACACATTGTTTTCCTTTACTATATCTTCAATAAAAGCCTTCTTCACTGAAAACTCCTTTTCTTCCTTTTGCCGATCTCTCCTACGCGAACTTCGCACACCTGGTAGTAGGGACCTTGGCACCCTGGAATAATAACAAAACCGCAAAAACAAACATAAGCAACAACTGCAACTGGCTGGCCTAGTTGACAACTTTATCAAGGCAAGCAAAGACACAATGCAGTTCTATCTAATTGAGGCATAGAAGAGTAAATACAAGGGAACAACTTTATCACAATCACTATTATCCATCATCAAAGAACAAGTTCCAAAAGCAGCATATGACATACTGAGACTATCTTGTGCTCAATGTAGTTTGAATAAGATGTTTAGCTGACCTCGAAACAAAAGACATGGTCAAGAGGTATAGCAGCTGTTGATGGGAGAGCATAGGAAGGTAATTCATAGCAGCTCTACGTACTGCAGCTTCTTTAGCTACTTTAAGCCATTGTGGTGTTCCAAAGTTAGCAGCTTCCCCACAGTTAAAACCTATAGTAATCCATCAAAGACTCAAGATGAGCAACAATGCTGAAGAGGCAATAAAAATTTGTTTCAAATAACACAAGAAAATTTATGAAAACCAAGGACTTGCAGACGAAAATGGGAAACATCATGTGCATGCAGAAAGAACCATGCCATTAGTACCATATAAGCTATGATTGAAACAATTGAATACAAAAAATTTTATTGCAAATTTGCAATTATCAGAAATCGAGTTTAAATATCTGCAATAGCAATTTGTTTTAATGGAAGAGGTCCATGACTTTGATTTTATCACAAAAGAATTAGGAAGAAAAGGTACTAAGGCACAAGTCCTTATCAAACTCATGTGGACTGAAGACCTTCACATTAGCAATCATGAGAAATACCAAAAAAAAGCCGGATGAAAGGAATAACGTTAACACAAAAATTGGAAAATAAAAACATGGTGTAGTTTTTGTGCAGAGTTAAGCCTTGACCACCTCCTGTCTATATCATCTATAAATCAGGACGAAAGGAATATGCTACAGCCTACATGAAACTGGGAGGATACCAACGCAACTAAAGCGTTAGTTATTTCCATCAATCTGGGGTTTAGCTACTAGGATTCCTTTATTCCATTTAGCCATATCCAAGGCCAAATTCTCTGATAATGCAAGAAGAGCATTACGGGGGAATATTTAACCTCTTTCTATAGTCCATTTATCCAAGGCACCTAACCTCCACTCTTCCTGATGACACAACAATCCAAGGTACTTCCTCACTTAAACTTCCAACTTTGTCTTCGGTACGTTTGAACTAATAGCTCAACAGAAAAGTGGAATAAAGTTTTCCAGATTAGTTGGAGGAGGTACTGTATACTCTCACTATAATGTAAAAGTGATACGTGCTTATGGTTCTAGATCAGCTCTTATGGTCAATAAATCTAAGTTAATAGACATTACTAGAGGATAAATTATTTGAAGCCTTTTGTCATTTCTGTTTCATCTATGGCTATTCAAATCAAGTTCGGGCTCAAAGGGCTACTTCTATCACAAAGGAATTGAATCCTTTAGGTACTTACCCCCCTTTTCTTGTAGGTTTGATAGATATGCCCTATTCTTTGTAGAACTTCTATACCCTATGTTTAGTGTCCAATGCACATGAAATTTCTTTCTGCAACAAATGCCAAGTTGTAAGCATTTACAAAGTAAAAACAGGGTTCAGGCCAAAATGTAAAAACTATCATATCCACCACTACGATAGCGATAAGTAATAAACAATGTACAGTAATTACCGTGGCTGAATCCTACATGGTAAGCCCTTGGAAAAGTCACAACAAATTCACCAGAGTTCTGTATTAACCTAAAGAAGAAACCAGAATGAACAAAATTAGAACATCAAAAAGACCCAACCCAACAGAGACTCAGATCCACAGATCAAATCCGAACATTCAGTATAAATAATAAATCCTCAACCGAGTTAACATTATAAATAAACAGTAGAAGTAACAAGAAGGGGCAAAAGAAAGACCACCTGCAACAAGGAATCCCTGCTGCAACAACAGCCTCAGGTGAAATTAAAGTTGTTTTATTGCCCAATAGTGAGAGAGCAGCTGGTAATAAGAGAAACTGGACCTGAGTTACAAAAAGGCTATGGAAGTAATAACAATAAACAAATGCTCAGAAGCTCAGAGGCTTTTAGTAAACAATGAATGAACCAACCATATAAGAATTCACATACCTAGGCGGTCAAGATTACTACCAAACGCCTCGGTGCGAATAAGTTCCTCAAAATCAAATGCATAATCGCCTGGAACAGAATACCAAGTCTTTGAAGATCCAGTGTGAAGAAAATTCATACTGTGAAGCTCATGATCTTCAACGTGCCAAGCAAACCAACTGAACAACATGCCAATGTAAACCATAGGAGAAGTAACACCCGGGATATCATCGGGCATGAAACGAGTAAGTGAACCAGGTGAACGTGCAATCACTTGTAAGTTCCAAGGACTGTTTGAAAGCTTCCAACCAGCAGTACCTTCCATATCACAACATGAATTTGGATTTTTTTGCCTAGATGATTGGGGCGTTTCATCTGCTGATAATATTTCTGGAGCAGTAGATGATTTGGATGCCTCTAAACATGTATCCGAAACATTCCTACGAGTAGCATTCTTAACTTCCTCATTATGGGAGTTTCTTTCGCTGATACTGATCATTTCACCTTTCTTGCTATCAGAGTTTTCATTTCTTCTCTGGTAGGAGTTCCTCTTCCGCCTCCGCCTGTGAGAAGAGCGGAATTGTCCCACAGGCTCTTCAAAAGCAGACCCGGGCACATCATTTGCATACTCAATATATATTGGCTTCTCAGAAGCTGCCTTCCAAAACATTTCCTCTATACCCAATGGGGTAACCTCCCTAATTGAACCTAGCATGCTCCTTGCAAAAGCCCTAGACTTAGTTTCAAACTGCTCCAAAGTATAAATTTCTCCACTTTGCCACACTTGCTTATCAACACCCGAAGGCGGATTCTGAACTGCTGCCCCTTTCACCTTTTTCACACTCTGACCCAATTCTTGGTGTCTTGTGGTAAAGACTGCCCTAGCCTCCCCATCATTACCACCATCCCCAGAACCCGTTCTCATCGGAGAACAACCCTCTAAAGAATTTACATCACTACCCAATTCTGGACACTTCAAAAGTGACTTATTCAAGTTGCTAAAAACATATCTTTTTGAGGGTTTTGGCAATGGTGGGATAATCTTGCAAATACCAAATCCACTAGCTTCCTTCTCGATTTTCGATATGTAAGCAATCGGGTCTGCGAATTCAGTATGCGTCGGCCGGAAGACGGGTGCCAATGGCAACCCTTCGAGCCAACTGGGTATTTCAACATCACCCATTTATAACCAAGATTCACATCCGCAGCATATCCTACTATACAAGCTAATGGCACATTGGTTTTCAATCACAAAAGCATTGTTCTTTGAAGTTCCAATACCAACCCAATAACCAAAACCCTATAAGTGCAAAGATTTGTGCAAAATTTTGACAGAATCGTAGAAATTCAGAACCTGTAAATTCAACGAGACTGGTTGATACGCATACGATTAGCCTTCAGAAGCAACAGCCAACTGCAACTGCAAATACAGAGAGAAAGTAGAGGGGAGAGAGAGAGAGGAGAAAGAGGGAGGAGAGGAAGGAGAGAGAGAGAGAAGAAGAGAGGAGGAGAGAAAGAGAGAGGGGGGGGGTTGTTTGTCTAGGTTTTGAGCAACATTCTTGAAGCTGAGTCTGGGAGAGGCGGGGAACGGCTAAATTGCGCGGCTAGGACACAGCGCACGAAGAGTCACTGTTATTTTCTGGCCGTACGACTCGGATAGGGATGGGGTCGCGTTGCGGTTAGTTTAGGTGTGACTTGCGCATAGGCGCCATTTTAGCACGAAGCCGTCCTAAAGCCTTCTACATTAGGCTGGAAAAATGAGGATGATATCAATTTATTAAGCTCATAAAGTTTATAGAGTAATCACACTTTTATAGGGTTAATATAATTAAAAAGAACTTTATTGCCTATCTATGAGAATAAGAACGACACATAAAATCGCATGAATCATAGGGTATTTTATTATGAGTCATACAAAAAAGCTTTGGGTTGAGCATAGACTAAGGAAAGGGATAGGGATCTCAAATAGTCAATTCAAGTTTATGTCATGCTCGACTATATGGAGCAATCTATCTTTTACAAAGATCGATAGAACGATATAGAGATATGCAAAGTATTTGCACATGGTTTTTATAGATTTGGAAAAAGTGAATGATAGGTTCCCAAGAGAAATTTTTTTTTTTTGGATTCTAGTGAAGAAAGGAGTATGAGTAGTATATGTCCAAGCAATAAAGAATATGTATGATGAAGTAAGGACTGTAGTAAGAACTCATGAAGGACAAACTGAAGGCTTTCCCATAATCATATATAGGGTTACTCCATGCCTCAACTTTAAGTCCTTACCTTTTTTGAATTGGTAATTGATGAGTTAACGGAACATATTCAACACATGCAAATAACAAGTGCCTCCGAGAAAAATATTATAGGATGGCAATAAGGCCAGCGATGTTTCATGGCACAAATGTTAGGCGGTCAAGTATCAACACGTGCACAAAAAGAGTGTAGCAGAGATGAGAATGCTTCGCAGGATGTGTGGGCACACGAGAAATGATATGATTAAGAACGAGGATATCCGACGTAAAGTAGGAGTTGGCCCAATTGAAGATAAGATGAGAGGGAATTGATTAAGGTGGTTTGCATATGTGAAACCAAAGACCTACATATGTTCTGGTTAGAAAATGCGATTACGAGATAGATGGTCAAGGAAAAAGGGTAGAGAAACACATAGGAAGATTTAGAAAAAGACCTTAAGAAAGATTTGGAGTACTTGGAGCTAACAGAAAATTAGACGCAAAATCGAGCGTAGTGACATTTTAGAATTCATATAACTAATCTCATTTAATGAGATAAAACCATATTTTTGTTGTTGTTTATATAATACTTGCAGCAGTGACCACCACATTTAAAAAAAATTATAATAAGAAATAAAAATGAGATGAAGATAATCAAAAGAAATTATGAATTGTGGAGAGAGCTAGAGTTTATAGAAAAAAGTTGGAAGAGTTAAGTTAAAACTTCTATGATCCACGTCGTCGATAAAAACAAGTTAACAAATTTTTAGCTTTGATCAAATTACATGGCATTGATATAGCATTGTTTCAACATTTTCCATATGATTAAATCCAGTTCAAATCAGAGAGTAAATAAATTATCTAGTCTTTTGTCTAATCCAAATGAAGGAGGAGAGGTGACATATCCAACTACACTTCCTTATTTCTATAAGAATGGTACTATCCACAAACTTATTTTTACTTTATACACATCTCTTGTTTAATTATATATTTTGATATTCTTTTATTCATTCAATTGGATAGTTAGAAATTGAAAATAGTGTGTGAAAGATAAAAATGCATGCGTGAGTTGTGCAATTGATTATTAACGGAAGGCAGCAGAGGCAGGGCCAAAGGAGCTTAAATTAGTTAACGATAATAGAGGATTCTCGCCGGATCCTCCAATCACATCCGTTCATTGTACATTGTATGATCATTTTTCATCAGCTACTATTTATATTTAATTTTAAATAAAAAAATTTACAATAATTTCTAATCGCACGATGTACGATAAATAAACGTTGATGATCTTTGAAATCCTTACAAAAAGGGTGAATCCTGACTCATTAATGATAATCTGCAGCAAGGTTATCTCAGAACGGAAGTACGTCAAGATCATGCATGGAATATGTAGAAAAACAAACAAGGACAGTACTTTCTTCAAATATCAAGTCGACGTGTTTCACTACGTACTACTTATATAGCTTTATTTGGAAAGTGAGGGAAGATTATGCAATCGTTGGGTCCAATCATGCCCAAAAAAGTATAAATAAAATGATAAGGATTCATTTGCACCAACTTTGTTCTCTCTTTTTTATTCATAGAATTCAAGTCATTCACCATTTGCGAAATGGCTCGATCTCAAGATTTTAGAGAGATTAATCAGCGGATTACTCCTAATTGTACAAAATTGTTATTAAATTGCATCAAGTCACGGGCTTTTATCACAAAAATTTTGTTGTAATTGTTAGTGAAACCACATAATATAACTTTATATTTTAATTTATTAATTTTTATATATGCTATTCTTGTATGCTTGTCACTCTAAATTTTTTATTTTGCAATCCAAAATTTTTTATACTTGAAAAGGAAAATACAATTATTAGAAGTGCAGAATAAGATTTTTGTATTGTCAATAATAATTTTGTAAAATAATCACAATTCAATATATAGTGACAGATTAAATCTCTCCTATTAAAATTCTGACTAATGAAATCTCTCACATTTAAAATAATCACAATTCAATATAGTGGAAGGAAAAAATGTTATTAAATGCTAATGTGTCCAATTTTTGAGAAAGGAAAGTTGTTTGTTTCTTTCTTTAGAGTTCTTTCTATTTCCTGCAGATCATAGTTTTACTGATATACAAAAATAACTCAATAAAAACGTTAACTTTATTTTTGTACAGTGAAAAACTATGATTTGCGGATAAATAAGATTAATAACATCTCATTACATGAAAGGATGCATTTATGTTAATATGTACATCCCAGAAACCCTAGAACTTAATACGATCATATCCATGATCTGCATCTCTAGCTAATTACAACTACCACGGAATATTCAGCTACCCTATATTTCTTGGTAATCAAAAAATAATTCCATGTACGTAGTCACATTATTGACCAACTTAAAAATTAAAAGTACGTAAATGAATCTAAAAACTGCAAGTACGTACGTACGTATATTGTACTTGCAGTTGAAAGGTACAATATCAATCATAGGTTATGCTTATTATTCCAGATCCAACCACCATTCCCAGAGACCTGTTTGCAGTAATTCTCACATGCAATCTCGCAGATGGGAATGTTTGCGCCTTCCTCTTTCAGGCACACTGGCATGCATGGCTTTGCACAGTCTGAGAGCGCTTCACTTCCCTTCATGCTGTAGCTGCACACCATAACAACTAGCAAACAGATAACAATGGCAGGAATTTTATTGGTTTTAGTATTGGCCATTTTGGTCTTTTAAAACTGGGTTTTTATTGGGTTTTTGGTATGATTTGTGAGGGAATTGGTCGACTTGCCGAAATATTCAGTCTGCGAATAAGAACTTGGATGTGGGATTGGTTTATATAAGGGGTGGGAAGTTGCGCATGCTTAGGAAAGAAAGATGCACCTATGGTTTAGGTGGTTTGGAGCAAAACATGGTGATGAAAAATGAGGTTGGGGTTAGAAATTAGGGTCATATATTTTTGGTTGGGCTAAAGAAAGATGGTTAGTTTTTTTTTTTTTTTTTTGCCAAGAATTGAGAGGTTCAAGTGCGTAATACTATTAACACTCCTCGTTTAAGTTCTGACTCCAAATCGAACTAGCAAAATGGCCACACACTGTGTGTGGAAAATAATTATGTTTTACTATGATTTTATAATTAGAACAAAAGAAGTTAAAATTCAAAAGAGAATAAATAAGATCCCCAAGCATAAATAAGCGCCACCAAAAAAACTAGTGTGCTCCTCTAGTCTTCCATGGTGTTTTCTTCTCCACTTGTTTCGATTACTCTTCTTCTTTTGGTTTTGTGATTCCGTTTTCCTCTAGCTGGAATGAAATTTTGTAGAACGTGGGATCATGAACAAGGAGGAAGTTTGATCACAAAATGAGAATAGAAGATAGACGTGGGTGGGTTGCTTTCTGCTGGTGGTTCACTCCTTTTTTCTTTAAATTTTTTATTTTGTAATTCTCTTATTTATTAGGATGTATTTTTAAAACATTTAATTAATTGTTGTTTCACATATATATTTATCCATGATTTATTAACTTGTTTTATTGGGGTGTAATCATATACAAAGGGTTATAATCCTTATGTTTTTTAGAATTTTGTTTGACAAAAAAAGTTTGCTTATAGATATTAGTTACTCATTTGCAAATTTATTATCCTAGTCGGAAGACTAAATAATGCATGATCCCTCATTCTTAAATTTAAAATTTAAATTTGAAATCGAACAGTTACAGGAATGGTCATTTATTAAAAATTGATATCAAATCAAAGATAAGTAACAATGAATTAAATATTCATTTGTAACTGTACAAAGTTTAATGAATTAAATTTGGAGTATGGTCTAATTAATGCTGTCACGCCTCGAAAAGTAACAGTGCTAGGCTTTATTGACAACGCAACGTTATAATGCCGCCCTAAAAAGAACTAAATTAAGTCATATATACTTCACAACTTATGAACATAATGTGAGGTTTTGGATTTTCGGGTTTCAATCAACAAAATGTGATTAATTTTGAAAGGGGTACTTTTTTTTTTTTTTTTTATTTTTCTTTTGGTATAGTTCACAAATGTAATTCACTCAAAAGCAAATCTGGAAACCCAAAAATAAATCTTCTCATGGGGTCCATAGCCTAATCGTATATAAAATATTAAAGTATTTTCAAATGAAATGTCAAAAAGTTCACATTAGCAATATTATGAACAAAAGACAACATATAGTGTTTTCCAACTGAAATGCTAATTCTTATGTGACATAACGAGAATTGACGGTAAATTCAACTCGCGCCAAGTTTGCCCAACACTTGACATACTTGGCGTGACGAAACACATCGTCGGGTAAAATACCTTAAGTTGACAAACTAAAATTTCGTCGGGCAAATGTTCACACAGAATACCCTAGAGTCGCGTTCCAGAATGGTCCTTATTAATGCAATCTGGCGTGCTCGAAACTCCCTTCTTTGGGAAGACAAATCTGCAAGTCCGGCCTTGGTGAGTCAATTAGCTGGTCTCTATCTCTCTCACTACCTTCGTGCTCAGCCTGCTCCTTTGCATCGACTTCAACAGTCTCCTTCCCATTGGTCTCCTCCTCCAGTTCATTGGATGAAGATTAATGTGGATGGTTCCTTTTGTTCGTCTACAAACTCTGGGGGAGTCCGATGTGGTGTTTCGCAATGGTGCCGGTAACTATGTTGGAGGTTTCATTTGCAAGATACCTTACGTGACTAACCACACGGTGGAGGTCCTAGCTGCTCTTGAAGGTCTCGAGCTGGCTGCCCAGAAAAACTGGCAGTGTATCATCTTGGAGTCTGATGCTTTATTGGTTGTTCAAGCCATAGGCAGCTTGCACAATCTTGGGAGTCTGATGCTTTATTGGTTGTTCAAGCCATGGGCAGCTTGCACAGTGGTTCGACTTCCAATGAGTTGCTAATTGATGACATTAAAACCCGTGTACGGGACTTTAATGAATCTAGAGTTTGTCATGTCTGCCGTTCTATCCATTCTGTAATGCATAGATTGGCCAAGTTGACCTTAATTTTGGATGTTCTTTAACTATTGGTTTGAGGAACCACTAGATGTACTCCGAAACATCCTCCATCATGATTGTATACTTTCTTAAGTTATTGAATAAAACGCTACCATCTCTTTTTCTTAAAAAATGAAAAAAAAAATCAGAACATAAACACATACATGCAACAAGGGAAAAGGTTAGGCAAAAAGATGCAACATCTGCAACAGGCAATGTTCTTTCATTGGTGACATTGTAACAAAGCAAAAATATATATCCAAAAGCTGACAGGCTGCCACCAATGGATAAAAAGATAATGCTTTTATAATATTTTCAAATTTTGTCCATGAACTGTCATATTTGACATTCCAACTTCTCTAAACGTAGAATCCAGAAACTCTCTCTCTCTCTCTCTCTCTCTCTCTCTCTCTCTCTCTCTCTCTCTCTCGAGGAATTTTTCAATGTGACCGTCACACGAGATGGTACATCACGTATCCTTATATAAATGATGAATTATGTATGTTAAAAGGGTAATAACTTTAAAATTAAAATTTTTCACCACTTGTATAAAAACACGTAATGTATCATCCGTATTCTCATTACAACTAAAAATTTCTCCCCTCTATGGGTGCATACTGCGTAGTGGAGCCAAATTGGCAAATCTCCTGTCGGCTGTTAAGTTGAATGATGTGTCATGTTCAGGGTCTCATTCTCCACGTATATATACCAACTTACGTACCCGGAAAGTTGTCTTAGTTGAATCTGTGTGCCAGATACATATACATATATATATAAATATATATATAGAGAGAGAGAGAGAGAGAGAGAGAGAGTCATGGCTCACAATTGACATGTCTTCCAATTGGTCACATGGATTTATCAAGAAAACTTCAAACAAAACTTTCTTTTTTTTAACAAACAATATTATATACATTAAAGGAAAGAGAGTATATTTAGCTTACAATGAGCTAACAATAAAGTCATTCAAATTCATTTTTGGCAAAAATTAAATGTAAAACCTCTTACTTATAAGTGCAGAGAAATACTATTAGACCGTGATACTAATTAAGTGGCACTTCAAAACAAAACTTATATAGTGAAATGCAATAGAATAAAAGAAACAAGTTACTCTTGAAGTTTAACACTTGATCATTAATCTATTGGTAATACCAGATAGTTTCACGGCCAACCCGAAGGAGGTGTAATGATTGATCAATCGCGACACACTCCGAATCAAATATCCAAAAAGACATCAAAATCAAGACATATTGGCCGACACTTAAAAGATGACGAAATCATATTATGTAATTTATGTATAAAAAGTACGAGTAAATTAAAACCAAAGTCTAGAAGTAAGTTAAACTAAGAGCAAGAGAGTGCAGTGTGGGTGAACTCTTATTACAAATGCATGCAGTATTAGATTATGGATAAAAGTGCATTATAGGTAAGAATATCTTCATCCTAAGTAGGATGGATATTATACAATTAACAGGAATAAATTTCCTACATTAATTATAGCGGATGCCAAAACCGCTAGTGATTCCTCACTTGCCATAGTATTCAGCTACTAAGTCTTGGAAGGGTGAAAAACATACTATGAATGGACCAAAATAAGGATTTACCAAAACTTTTGCTTTTCGTAACATAGTAACCTCTTGTTGTAATATGAAAACCAAAGCAAAATAGTATAAAAGCCATTATGCTTAAGATACAAGTAAATCGCAAATATCTTAAAGAAAGTAGCTACATGAACGGGCTGGGTGTAATAATCTACGCTCAAGTACTATAAACACATAAAATTGGCAACAAGGGCATCACATACAACCCCTAAATACAAAAGCAATTAGTATAGGTTAGCATGTACAATGGATCTAATGTGAACAAAGCGTTGCACATACATGTAAAGCTGATCCTGGTCCGAACGAGTACTAAAGACACCAGTTTAAGCCTGCATGATGAGTAGATAAAATATGTACTATCATACCATCATAATTTCATAACTCTCAACATCAACAAATAATATTTCTAAGTAAGATTGTGGCATGATGTAAAACATTCTTAAGCCATTAAAGAAACTATACATATAAGATAGGTTTGAAAACAAAACCCACTTACTGATACGTCATCAGATTATAACCACATTGCCTTGCCTGGCTTCTGAAATCCTCTTCCTATATGATTTCATTAACTGATGAGGAAACATGAAAATGATGGTTATGAACCTACTCTTCCTATTATAACACCAATAGCAAGTGACAGCGATCTAACTCACTAGCCCCCACCAAGTGTTTCAATTCTCTCTCAAATTGGAGAAAAATAATCTTATATATTTTTCAATTCTCTCTCAGTAACTACTAGTTACGAACATCGATATGATGCTATTCGACGCTAAGTTCCTCATCAAACAATTCTTTCGCAGATGCAGGAAACTTGGTGGTACAGTCCTAAGGCGTGCAATCCGGGGTCACATTAGCAATGCGAAGATGTGGTTCCGCCGTCATGAAGAGGACTACTGTGTACCCAAAAATGTCCAAAGAGGCCACCTTGTGGTGTATGTTGGTGAAGACTGCAAGAGATTTATCATCAAGGTTACATTACTCAGCCACCCTTTGTTCCAGCAATTGCTTGATCTCGCTGAAGAAGTTTTTCAGTTTGCAGCCAACACGAAACTCTGGATTCCTTGCAACGAATACATTTTCATCGACGTTCTTCATTGCATCAGTTATGAACTAGATCAAGGGCTTCATCATATTTGATGACGTTGCCTTTTTCTTCACAAGTTTTGTTATATGCTTGGAGCATTTAGATAAGATATGTTAGCAAGTGTGCAGCTAAATTTCTGTTGTACTCGTACATTGTGTTGTTTTGCAATTTCAATGCTCATAAGTCAAAGCTAATTTATGATCAAAATTGTGTCATTTTACAGGCTCCGCAAGTGTCCGCTATACTATATTTCAACTGTTTAGACTATTATTGAACTTTTCTGGTATGGGACTTACGCTTGCCCAAGCAATTCAGGCTAACTAGTCCATACAATATTCTCAAAAAATTTAAGCTTTCTTCTGACTACAATGCTAGTTAAACCCACCTCGTTCATAGACTTGATACATCTTAGTTTTCCTGGGAGAACTTCCTTAACCGTGACATGCAACATCTTTCGTTTCTTTCTCATCACCTAACGAAAGAGGCAGATGTTCCATGTCACAGTTGCAGGTAAGTCCTTTTCGAGTTTTCCAAGTCATACAGTGTGCTGCCGACTATGATTTGATCGGCATGACAGAGATGCAACTTCATGGGGAAATAGGAATAGCACAATTTCTCAAATTGCAAGTCCCACTCCACCATAGCTAGCCTAAACTACTCTGCGTAATGCTATAGTTAGTGTCATAATTCTTCGCCAAAAGCCTTGTTAATTATAACCATCTCCTAGATGCTGTTGTAGGATCTCTTTTACATATATTCGTGATGGTGAAGCAAATTAATTAGGCTAATATTCCAACTGAAAATATACTTTTGCATGCTCCAATTTCTAGTTTTAAATGGGCAGAGAGGCTCTTATAGGAGCCTAGCTAGCGATTCCCAAGCCAATTATACGACACAAATCCTGCTTGAAGTTAATGACATATATATAATTCTATCACTGTTTACATTGCCTTATCCGGTTGATTACCATCCTACGTCTACACGTACTTTTCAAATTTTCAGCATCAAGCAACAGTTTAAGTAATGTAGTATCGCGTTACACTTATCTTTTCAATGTTACAAGATGTATCAAGTTTGAATAAGAAAAAAGTGACGTATCCACTTTAAGATACTAACTTTACACTCCTATATTTTCTATCATATTCCCCTAAAAGAAAATTTCTGAGGGCATCAACCAAGTTTCAAGAGAATGCAATTCAATCGAATTCGACCATGAAAGTTCAAGCTTTTTTATATTAATAATGAAAATGTCTTTTAATAAACTTGCAATCCATGTCATCTTTATGTGACAAGGATCGCACAAAAGATAAACATAGATGGAACAAATAAACTGCTATACCAGATAAAACGGGTTCAGGAGATCAAAGCACTGCCGGCTGCCACAGTTACATCAGCAAGAAATCCAACTCTACCACAAAATGAATAGAAAGTACATGGAGCTCAACTGCCGAGAAATGACCCTAATGGAAAACGGGCTTTTCTGGGTACGTGCAGCCTGACCTTTGGATGACAACATTTGCTGCATAACAACCAGCTTTAACGCAGTTTTCAATTGGCTTCTCTTGAACCAGCTGTGACAAAAATCCCCCAACAAATGCATCTCCTGCCACAAGAAACATCATGATATTTTTTTTAGTTACAAGTTAGAACTAACAAGATTTCTTCTATTCTTCACTCGTAATCCTGATATCTCACTCAAGCATTTGACCAGTAATATAACATGAATAATTGTTTATAGCCTAGATCGATAGTTTATATGCTCAAGACTTTAGACTCCTGACTAAATGGCATTGGCAAGAATTATATCATTGCATGCTTTATATTTCCTTTTAAATAAGCAACTTAAGTCTCCCCCAGAACGGCAGGAAGAAAAAGGTAAAAGAATCCAATGACATTGACGGGTGAGATATCACATACCGGCTCCATTGGTATCAACCAGCTTCTCCTTCGGTAACAATATGACAGGAAATAGTTTCACCTTCCCATCCTCAGCAACTACAACAGGATCTGCACCTTGTGTGATAACAGTAATCCTCTTGTGTGTACCCGATGCTTTGGGCAACTGGGAAATCTTTATGGCGATCTCCTCAACATTTTCAGTCTGATTGAAAAAGGCATTATAGTTAGTGACTTGTAGAGGTTAGAAGTTCTTCAGTCAAATTTGAAAGAAGAAAGACTAAGCAATGTTACCTTCCAGCCATGAACCCTTGAAAAGGTTCTTGCTTCGGTCTCATTCCCAAAAACATAGTCCATGTACCTATACAAAAAGGCAATTCAGTACTCCACATTGATCATGAAATACAAAGAGATTTTAGTTTCATTTCTTTTCCTTTTCTGGGAGGAGGGACTTACGGAAGTGCTTTCTCCTGTACATCCTTGAAGAACTCACAAATGAAAGGAGCGGAAAGATTCATCGTGAATACCTGTAGATAAAAAAGAAGGCAGCTGAAGCTACTGAATTGGATAATAAAGAGAGAATCCAACCACACTGTCGATGCTAAGAAACACTCTATGGTTGATACCTTATTGTTTGCAGCAGCATGTTCTGCAACCAGTTGAATGGACTCAGGAGACACAGTAAGGAAAAACCCAGCAATGTAGTAATATTTTGCCTTTTCAACTGTTCAAGCATGAGTTTGCATAAGGTGAGTCGGAGAGGACATGTGACCAAAACCAAGGAAAGGATAAAATCTGAATTAACAAGAGAGCAAGGGAATTAATACCCAGAGCCCAATTTTCAGGTTGCTTTAAATGCTCAGTTTTGTAACAATTTGCAGCTGATAAGTTAGCAACAAGTGACCTGTACAATTATTTGTTACAAGACATTAATCCCTGCAAAGTTTTAATAAACTATAAGACTAATTCAGAAGAAAATGAAATATACAACTTTATGCAGGGGTCCTTTTGTTCCAACAATTTATGACAGATACAAGGATCCCTATGGGAGCAATGAATGAAATCAAAATGCATGATACAGGGTATTGACAGAAGTAAAAGAAGAAATGCCTAGGAAAATTTGCTTTATAAAACTATAAATCGGCAGACGACAATTTCAAATTCATCTTCCAAAGGAGATATAAAACTGACCTCTCACCACCAACTACACAAACAGCACATGTTCCTGTTGGAGCTTTGTCATCTTCATAATATTGCACCTGAACCCAAATGTAAATGAATATTTTTTGATCCAAAAAAATCAGAATAGCTGAGGGATAATAAGCAGGGTAGGTAAAGATGTAAAGAAACTCACATTAACACCAGCATGTTTACAATTTTTCTTCATCTCCTCACCATACTTGTCCTTGCCAATGGATCCAATGTAACTAGTTGCGCCAGGAGCTTGGAGCATCCACTATTGTAAAACAACACACAGATTGAGAAATTTTTGTCAGCATAATACAATTGAATCAGATCTTCATAAGATAAATAATGATAAAAAGTTCTGTTAAAAACATAAACAAACCTGCGCAACTTTGATTGAATTTTGAGTAGCACCTGAAAATAACACAATGAACATATACAACACTAGTCACTGGTTTGCAAAGGACAGAAAAATTAGGCATCGTTATCAGTAAATTTTCTAGACAAGATCATAAAGCATGGGATCACCAAATAACGAAGTGAACTACTTATCAAAATTACCTCCAGCAATATACTCTACATTGTACTTGGAAGACATTTCGTCGTACCTGTTAAAAACCACCCAAAAAAGATTGAATCAGAAAATGCAATATTTCAGGGAGTTGCAAACGCCAGAAACTAATCATGACCTTATGTTTGAACTATATTCTCACAAAAATTTACAAACAAGTAACTAAGAGATCGGAAAACTCAAAACCCTCTTAAACTCTTAAAGTTACACCCTTTCTAATCCAGGTGAAGTAATTACTAATTGAAAATCAAGGAAGCAAGGATAAGAACAAAAATGGATTACATGGGCAGGTGCTTATCCTCGGCAAGAATGGCATTGTTCGGCTTGATGTCATATCTGTAAAAAAACCACTCAATTTAGTTCTCCATACGATATAATGCATAGATCGAAAAAGAGAAGGAAAAAAAAATCTACCAAAATGCAGAAACACTTAAAATACAATATTAAAATCACACAATGAAACCAAACATGAACAGGAAATGAATCTTACAACAGAAAAAGAAAAGTAAATAAACTTTCAAATGCCTAATCATAGGAAAAGAAATTAGATAATTCAATAAATTAAGCAAGTAACCGTATTTTCCTTTTCTAAATCAAAGCAGATCCAACCAAAATAGTCACATATGATTTCACCAACAAAAACTCAACCAATGCTCATCTGGGTTTCAAATATAATCCGACTAATGAACCATGGGATTGGATTAATCCCAGAAAACAAACCAGAAACCAATAAAACCTGCAGATCTATTGACTTAATCACTTTCCTCTGTTTCTTAAATAAATCACAAAGTTTATGTCTTTCAGATCTATCGCAAAAACCCATTAAATTTAAGCAGAAAGGAAATCGAAAACTAAAAACAACAGATCGTATTCATCAGTTTTCCTGCAATTTCTGAGCATCCAAACAGTGAGAGAAGATGGGAAAATGTAATGAAAGAAGCTGATATGGGGGCTTACTTTGTCAAGAATTCTTCGTCGACGACGGCAGAGATGTCGAGAAGTGGATTGCCCATCCCCAGGAGGATCTGCTCGTGCGCCATTGATGAAATTTCCTAGGAGTTCTGAGAGTTGTTTTCAGAGGGAGGGAGGGAGGTCGGCTAAGTACCAAGTGAGTGAGATTGCGGACGAAAGTATTTATACCAGACGTGGGAATTATGGAGGTGAGATGTCTCTTATGTCACCAACCCCCAACGCCTTTTCCAATTTTCTCTTTTATTATTATATTTCATTTTAATAATTTTTTACTACTCACCAACCCACTCACAAATTGATTATCTATATTTATATCTCTACTGATTAATAAAACTCTCTTTGTAAACCAAAAGATGGTGAAAAAACAATTTAGTATTTTATCACACAAAAAAAAAATGATGGGTAATAATGTAATTTCACAGGTCTAAA